GGGGCCCGGAACAGGCCGACGGATGAAGCACTGCTGAGGGGAGCAGCGGGTGGTCAGGAGAGGTCTGCCGGCCCTGTGGGTCACCTCTGGGCGGGGATCGAACTCGTGCTGAAGTGGCTGCAGCTTCTCAGTGCTGCGCTTACCTGCTGCGCCCCCAGGGAGGGCCCTTATGGGCGTCTCCAAGCCTTGCAGTGATCCGATGTTCACGATTGACAACCTCCTGCGAAAAAAGCTGTTCACAATGCTGTAGTATGGCTCAGGACTCGTTCATACCCAGTACTTCGCAGCCCCATCCTGAAGTTAGCTTCAAGTCTAGGGAACACCCATACTGCAGATGCTCGCCAAGATCCACACCCTATAACACAGAGGCCGTGAGGAGAGGCGCGGCGGCAGCGGCTCCTGACAGCAGAATGGCTTCCATGCTTCCGCGCCGGGGCTCCTCTGTCCCGGAGGGAGATGATGGTGACGGGGCAGCAGTAGCGCCGGCCTCCCGCAGGCTGGGTCCCGTGACAGCTACGTGGAGATACAGCTGAACACCACCAGCGGGGTTGGTGCGGCGGTGTGATTTCCCAAAATAGCGGGCAGCCCTTGAAAAAGCCTCTTGGACACAAACTTAAGTCCTCTGTCAAGGTACACGATAGTGTCATTGAATCCAGTGTGTATTAGAACCACTAATAATCGTCGCCATCACTAATAACAAAAGGTTACACGTGGAGTCACCCTCTGACCTGCTGCTGGGCTTCTCCGTGCGCACCTGAGGGAAGTAGAAGCGGGTTCAGGTATCTGCACACCCACGTTCACTGCAACACAATTCACTGTCACCAAGAGGTGAAGCAATTCAGGTGTCTGTGGGCAGATGGGCCAGCTGCAGAATGGAGTATTACTCAGCCCCGAAAAGGAAGGACTTTCTGATCTTCACCCAGCATCATGGGGCCTGAGGATGTGATGCTCACTGAAACAAGCCAGACACACAGGCCACATCCTGTGTGATGCTACTCACAGAGGGCCCCACAGGAGTCACGTCCATGTAGACGGGAAGTAGGTGAGGGCGCCAGGGGCCGGGGGGCGGGGCTACTGCTTAATGGGGACAGAGTTCGGGTTGGTGAAGATGAGAAAGTTCTTGGGGTGAGCGTCTGCTCAACAGTAGACTGTGCTTGGTGCCGCGGAGACGGGCACCTCAGATGCTGAAGTGGTGCACCCCACCGAGGTGTGTGTGCCGAGCCAACAGTAAGCGGCTACGTGAGACGAACCCCAAAAGTCTTATGTTCTGGGCAAAGGAGGGGCTTGGCGGCATGTCCGTGGTCACTTTCTATAGACACACGAACGCCCGGTGCTGGGAGGTCGCGGGAGACTCGCTGCAGACCACCGTCCCCTGAGGACTGAGCACTGCCATCCCAGCCTCACCTGGCTGCAGGTGCGTCTCAGCAGCAAGCACGGAAGGTTGATGGTGTGTCCCCCAATGCCTGTGCAGGTGCTCAGGCCACTTGTTCTGGAGAGAAGGTGTCCCCACGATTCATGTCCACTAGAGGCTCAGAGAGTGACCTGATGCAAACACGGCCTTCGCAGTGTCCCGTGGATAAGATGTGGCCATCGAGGCCAGAGTGGCCCGACATACAGTAACTGGGGTCCTCTGAAAAAGAGGGGCTTTGAACACTGACGCCCAGGGAGGCAGCTCTGTGGGAAGGAGGGGGGCAGGGTGATGTATCTGTAAGCCAAGAATTGCTGGGGTCCCCCAAGATGGAAGCCTTAGGAAGGCGCCCCTGGTCTTCATCCCTCTGGGTCTTTGTCTGGAGAACAGCCCCCCGCACCTGGACTGTGATGTCTGGGTGCTTGCACTGGGAGTAAGCTCCTGTTGTTTTAGCTGCCTGGTTCCTTTTTCTTTCTTTCTTTCTTTGTTTTTTTAAAGATCTATTTGTTTGTGCATACACAGCTGGGGCACAGGCCAGAGTGCAGGGGAAGAGAGGGCTCACCAGCGACAGAGCGGGGAGCAGAACAGGCAGATGGACGAAGTACACTGCAGAGGGGAGCAGCGGGGAGACAGGAGGGGTCTGCTGCGCCCTGTGGGTCACCTCCGGGGCAGGCGGGGATCGAGCTTGGCTGAAGCGGCTGCAGGCGCAGCAGTGCTGCGCTTTAACCGCTGCGCCACCAGGGAGGGCCCCTGCCTGGTTTCCATGGCTGCCCCAGTACACAGCCCCCACTGGGGCGGCAGCACCCGGTAAAGGCGCCATTTGCTTCCTTTCGAGTTAATAAGAGTCTCTGGGCGTGTGCTGTATTATCAGTCAAACAAAATCCAGGGAGGTCTGCGGAGTGGGGTGCTCCCCCGTGAGAGCTGCCCACGCGCCGCCTGGCACCAGAGAGCCCGTCGCTGCTGCCGTCGCTCCCAGACTTGCCTGGGGAGGGGACACGGACAAGTTTACTAACTTTAGCAGCAGCAGAAAAAGTCCGGCCTGGATGGACACTTGATTTTGAAACGTTTGCTGTAATGGTTATTGGGAAGACGCTGTCAGGATCTTGGCTTATCATGGCAGCCACACGCCGTTCCCTGACTTAAGAACATTAAGATTTGTCCTTTGAAAAATGTGCAGTCACACTCACCTCTAGTTCCAGAATGTCTGTCACCCCAAAGCAGCCCTGCCCCACGCACAGTCACCCCCATCTGCGCCCGGCCCCGGACACGCGAGCCCTCTCCGTGGCTGCGTCTGGACGTTCTCGCCAGTGGCCTCAGCTGCGCGGCCTTGTGTGTCTGGTTTCTCCCGCTGAGCATCGTGTGCTCAGGCTCCTCCCTGGTCGAGAGGGTCAGAGCTGAACCCCTTGTTGTGGCCAGTGATGGCCCCATGGCTGGGGGGGGGACTCATTGTGCGTATTTGAAGAGTATTTGAGTAGTGTTCTGTGGTTCCCTTAAACCAGGAATATTTATAAATGGGGTTTACTTAGAATAAAAATAATTGAGTGATGGGGTACAGCCTGAGGCCCACAGTGGGGCGGGGAGCCTGGTGCTGGGGTGGGGGGGCCTGGGCTCGCCCTCAGCTGCTGGCTGTGTGAGCAAAGCCGGCTGGTCCCTCTCTGGGCTCCTGTGTCCACAGCTGTGAATGGCCCCTTTCCCTGTGACATCCTGGGATGGGCTCTGGGGCGCCTCAGTTCCTGCATTTGCAAAGGGACATGTGGGGTGCAAAGCCCTGGGGGTCCCCGGCAGCAAACCCCCGCTCAGAGCCCTGCACAGAAGGGTGAGCACGGCCACCCCACGCGAGACCTGCGAACCCCGGCTGATGTGTGTGCGGTGGAGTCTCAGGGTCAAAGCCTGCGTGTCCTTTTCATTTTTAAAAAATTGAGGTAAAAGTCACATGACAAAATTAACCATTCCCAACTTAGCACATTCACAGGTGTGTGTTGCCATTGATATTTATTTCCAGAACATTCCAAACAGGCAACCCTGTCCCCACCGCGGGCACCGGCACCCCCAGCCCTGGCAGCCACCGGCCCATTTCTGGGGATCTGCCTGTCCCGGGTGGTTCGTGCCCGTGGGATCTTCTGGCAGAAGCTCACTCTGTGTTTCCGCCAGTCGGGCAGGTGGGGTGTCCCGGGCCTCTGTCCCCGCCCCCCAAAAGCTGGGCTGCCCTTCAGGGCCGGGCACATGCCTGGTGGGTGCGACCCAGCAGGGTCCCGCCCGGGAAGGGCAGGCGGTCTGGGAGCTTGGGCTCTGGTGGGGGTGCCCTGTGCCAGGCTCTGTGGTGCCCAGCTGTCCAGGACAGTTCAGTCCTCTGCCTCGTGTCCCAGAAGAACAGAGAACCAGCAGTGGGCCTGGGAGTGGGCAGTTGTGGGGTCTGAAGGAAACAGCTCCTGAGGAGCAACTTCTGTGTGTGGGGGCGTGGGGGGCCCGGGCAGCCCTAACACTTGTTCTGTCCCCGCAGTACATGGGCTGCATCGAAGTCCTCCGCTCCATGCGCTCCCTGGACTTTAACACTCGCACCCAGGTCACCAGGTGAGCCTGCGTACGGTGCCGGGGCCGGGGGTGCCCGCCCCGGCTGTCCCGGCTGAGGGGGGCTGAGCGGTGCTTGGAGAGGGCTGTGGCGCGGCTCGGAGACAGCGTGGGGCCGAGACCGAGGTGGCGACGCAGCCACGGTGCGTCCTGCTCCCAGCCAGCGGCCCAGACTGCCCGGGCCATGACCGCGTGTCCGCGGGGCCAGGCCCTCTGGGTGCCCGCGGGTGTGGGTGTCCTGGGCGTGTCAGGAGAGCCTGCCGAGGGGCTGCAGTCTGCTGGTGTCTGCTGTGAGCCGGAGCCGAAGGCGCTGGGCCCCGACCTGAACGGGGTGGCGCCTCCACGGTCCCCGTTTTGGCTTTTTTCAGTGCAGAGAAGGCACACGGGTCTCATGTGCGCTGAGCTGCTTTTTTCAGTGCAGAGAAGGCACACGGGTCTCATGTGCGCTGAGCTGCCTGGAAGGGTCGTGTGCTGGGGCCGGCCAGGGCGTCAGCAGAGCCCCTGACCCTGATGTAGTCCAGTCCCCGCAGCCATAAAACCCCTAACTATTGAGATACCATTCGCATCTCAAGCAGTTCACCCATTTAAAGTACAAGTTTTTCCTTTTGGTATCTTCAGAGCTATGGAGCCACTGCCTAGTTCCAGAACATTCTGTCTCTCCAAAAAGAAACCCTCCTCCCTAACCCTGGCACCGCAAACTGCGCTGTGCCCCTCCCGGATGGTTCTCGGCAGTGGTCTTGGGCCGTGTGGCCTCGTGGGCCCGGGTTCTCTCCCCAGTGTGTTTGGGGTCCCTCCCGTCGCAGCCCGTGTCAGAGCTGCCCCCTCCGTGACCAGTATGTTCACTGCTGGGCATCTGGGTTGAGTCCACTTCGTCCACTTCTTGGCCGTGATGGGCTGCGGGAGTTGGCGCTTCAGAGATCTGGGGCACGCACCTGAGGGGGGCCCCCCATTTCACCCTCCACCGCCAGGTGTGCGGCTCTCGTTGCCCCACCAGCATTTTGGAAACCTGTGGCACAGAGTGGCCCAGGCACTGGGCTGTCACCCCGAGTCTGACTCCGTGTCTTTGAGTCAGCTGTGGCCCCTGCACATGCTGGTGACCGAGAAAGACGGAGGCAAAGGGAGAAGCGGAGGGTGGGGGTGCCTTCCGGTGCCGAAGGGTGGGGGCGTCCCAGAGCACCCATCAGCCTTTGGCTCCCCCTGCCTCCAGCTACCCCTTCACCCCTCCTCTCCGCTCCTCCCCCCACCGAGGCCCCGCTGCACCCTTTCTCAGCCCCGTCCCTGCAGCCCTGCTGCCCTGACCCTCGCCCCACGCCCACAGGGAGGCCATCAACCGGCTCCACGAGGCGGTGCCTGGTGTCCGGGGCTCCTGGAAGAAGAAGGTGCGTGAGCGGCCGGCGGCCCCCCAAGGGGTGGTGGGCATGGTTGGGGCTGTGGGGGGACGCGAGGCCAGAGACCCCCTTTGGCCCCGCCCTCCCTGGTGCCCAGCACCCGGCCCAGCCGCGCCCCCTCCCGCGCCCTCTGCCCCCTCACCAGGCCCCCAACAAGGCGCTGGCTTCCATCTTGGGCAAGAGCAACCTGCGCTTCGCAGGAATGAGCATAGCGGTCAGCATCTCCATCGACGGCCTCAACCTCTCGGTGCCCGCCACGCGCCAGGTGAGCCTTGCGCCCCAGCCGCAGGCCTGCCCCGCGCACTGAGAGCGGCCGTGCATGTCGGCGTGCCAGGCGTGCCAGGCGTGCCAGGCGTGCCGGTGTGGGGCTGAGGCGCCCTGGGCCCAGGAGCCCAGCAGCCACTGCCCGCAGGCCCTACTGGGTTGGGCTGAGGCTGCCTGCGGCTCCTGAGGTGGCCGAGGAACATGAGCACTGGGTCTGCGGCGGGCAGTGCTGGGTGGGCACAGCGGGGCATGCAGACCCGTGCAGACAGGCACACGCACAAGCATGGGAGAGTGCGCACGCAGGCATGCAAATGAGACAGCGAGCGCCCAGAAGAGCAAAAGATGTCGATCGACATGCAAATGAGCGCTGAATATAGATGAGCATGCAAACGAGCCCGCCAAGGAGCAGCCAGTTGTAAACCCGCATGCAGATGAGCTGTCCAGGCGCCTCCCAGCCCTGCGTCCGAGTCCCCTCTGCTGCCTCGGTGGCCGCGGGGCTGTGAGTGTGGCGCGAACCTGCGTGTGCAAGTGGGGATGCGTGAGGCCGAGTGAGCGTGTGAGCGAGCCGCTGAGTGTGGGTGAGTGCGCACCTGTCTGCCCACCTGTCTGCCTCACCGCAGTGAGCACGGCGGGTGCCTGCCAGCCAGGCGTCTGCGCGTGCACAGGGAGGGTCCGCGGAGGGGTCCGCGGGGTACACGGGGTCCGCGGGGTCCGCGGGGTCTGCGAGTCCGCG